GATGGAGTGTGGTGATTGAGAAAACATAAGAGCATTGCAACAGGAAACCCTTACAGCAACCCTGTACCCTGGTGAATGGCTCAGGCTGAGAAATGTTAATGGCAGGTAAAGTTGGGGCAGGTTTCTATGGAAGCGGGGAAAGGAGTGGAAGTGTGCGTGGAAGTGGTTTGGCTGGGAGTCAAACTGGGCTGGAGTTCTAATAGTGAGGCAATGATCTTTTCTTGAGTGTCACCAATAGATTTGCATTGTATTTCTAGGAATTGGACTGACTGTTGATAATTACCTAGTATTGAACCCTACTTTGAGATCGCTGCCTGTATTGGATCTTCTGGGTCCATTTTTCATTAGGCTAATTGTACTGTCACAAGGGCCTGGAGGTTAGTACATGGATGAGGACCCAGAAGCCGATTCAAGCATGGGAAACAGCGATAAGGTTTTCACAGGTTTTATTTGCTTAAACACATGAGTAAATAGTGTCACGAAGGAGGGATACTTGGCAGGGAACCGAATGTAGCAAAACTGAACAGAGGGAGAGCATGGTTAGAGAAAAGGCAAGGGAAGCTTGTCTGGAGAGGTGACTAATACTGAAATAGAGTCTTACTTGGCAGGTTTGAATCGCTAGGTGTGCATCTAGAATGGTGAGCTAGTGAGAGGGTTCCAACCTTTCTTTTCTAGAGAGCCAAGAGAGAAGGTGGCAGGAGGACAGGCGGAAGCGGTAGAAGGATTAATCCTGAGTGGCGGATGTGCAACAGAAAATGCTCCTTTAACAAGGAGAATGATAAGGCCGGTTACCAACGTGAGGTTAGCTCGAAAACAGGTGGAGAAGAGATGGGGGACCCTGGTCTTAAATGCTATCTCACTGATTGCAGTGAGGATGAGGGGAGCAGATCAGGTGAATGACGAGGACGCCACCCCAGGGTAGATACTGGGCAACACAAGAAAAACAGAGGAAAAAACACTCGAGCTCACCCAGACTATGACACAGTGATTATCAAACCTGAACTCCAAAAACTACATAAAAGCTAGTGAATGGTTTCTGTGTGATATAGGCTTGAACTTTTGTTCTTTTAAAACCATTAAAGTTTAGATGGTGTAATACACGCTTTGTCTGTGTCAGGTGTCATTGGAGTTCACACCTTCTTCAACTGTCCCAGGAGAAAAAACCAACATGGAGGTGACGGCGCTTCCACACTCTTTGTGTGGTTTAAGTGCCATTGACAAGAGTGTCCTCATCAAAGAGCCTGAGAATATCCTGCATGCAGATAAGGTAAGTGTGGTCTCAACCACCTTATACATCCTTCACTCTCAGGTTACGTCCACACTAGCCCGGATACATTTGAAAACGGCGTTTTCATCTGAAAATGCACCGCGTCCACACTAGCGTTTTCAGTCGTTTTCACAGCTGCGCGTCCACATTGAAATGAATGAAAACGCTTACATTCCAGTCCTGCGCATGCGCACAAGCGAGTGAGAATTAAAGAATTTGAAGAAAAGCTATCTGGAGCATGTACAAACTGATATTCATCTTTTTTAGGGCTGTCAAAATTGAGAGCAATCAAAACAACCGCTGTATAATGCACTCCGCTATCTTTGTTTATTTGGTCACATGACTGCATCACATGACTAAAATACTTCATCGTTTTAGAAAGTCTGCGTTTTTGTGTGTCCACACTGCGACAGGACAGCTGCGTTTTTAAATGTATGCATTTTCAAGAGCGTTTTCAAAACGCTGCGTTTTTCCTTGAGGAAAGCGCAGCGTTTCAGTGTGGACGGGGGGCCAAAACAGAGAAAACAATGCGTTTTCAAACGAAAACACATTAGTGTGGAGTAGCCTCAGTCTCTTCTAGTGTCATAAGTAGCAGACATTATATGAAGGCAACATGGATCTTAATTTGTGGGGAAGTTCTATAATTGCCAAGACAGAGATTCTCCTGCATCTGAAGAGCCAATCAAAACTGAATGAGATCAACTATGAGGTTCACAACTGTTTAACCTGTCTCATGGCAGTTCCTTGCTGTGTAACCATAGCATCTATTCAGTTTACTGGTGTGTTGAACCAAGACCTGTGTATAATTTTAAGCATGGTTGGTATAAAATAAACTTTCAGGTGAACAAAAAAGTATTTAAAATCTTACTTTTGATAAATAACCACGTGGAGGTGTTTGCAACTTGCACAGCCTAGTTGTAAATCTTGCTTCTAGATAGGCTTTTTTGGTCATTTAGAGGTTTTGTTCTCTACCTATTTTTCTCTATTTGTTTTCTTTTTTGTATAATACTGCATAAAACTGTATAAAACAACTATTAATACAGTTCAACACTTATTCTGTTATAAAGCATCCTGAGACAGTGATTAAAACATTTATTTGGCTAACTGTCATAAAAAGGGGAAAAAGATAAATATTTTGGAACACTGTCAAATAACAAACTGAATTCACATTTTTATACCCAGATTTCAGCTGGCAAACTCAACTTAAAATGCTTTTTTCTGTTCAGAAATTCAAGTATATAAC